ACCTTCCAATCAGTTCCTTCAATTGCATAGAAAGTGAAGCTCCCATGATGATAAGGTAATTCAAAAATTATTCAAGTTAAAAAAGTATGCCCCAGAAAAAAGAAAAAAAAACAATTAGGTGTAAGCAGGGAAAACACTTAAAGAATATAATTCCCAAAATGTGAAGGGAGAATTGTGTCACAATAATCTCTTAAAAGAAGCAGATGGAATTTCCTCTCTATAAAGATATCTCCCAGTATTTTTATATATATATAAACCGTAGACTTTAGCTATGAGGGAACCGAGGCTTTAACTAGATCAAATAAACACATTAGAGGTGTATTTGCCTTGTCTACATTAAGCTATTAACATGTGTTAGCTAACTCATCAAAATCCTGCTCTAAACAAGGCCTCTGAGACAGACAGTAGTCACAATCTTGCCTAGGACCAAATGTGCCTTGACGTGGCCCTCCAGGGTTAAGTCAGAGCAGGTCATTACAAAAGGAAACACACTCAAATACCCATGTAGACACTGTTTTCTTGGTAACAGCACTGCACCATGAATTAGCATAAAATGTTTTAAAAAAACCCAATTGGGTGGTTTTCTAAAGTAAATTGTTTGACCCTAGTAGAAACCCAAGGACATTGACAAATATACAGAAAAAGCCTCCCAAGGATGGGCATTTGGTGTGGAAATAATGTTATAAGGACAATAGGCTCATTTAAGTGGAATAAAGTTATTTGGTGAGGAATCTTAGATGAGTCCACAGCATCAAATAATAAAAATAAAGTTCAGTAGTCATTCTCTAGATCTGGAAGCTCAGTAATTCTTTAGGCTGTACTAACTGCGTCCAGGGCTGATCAGAGTGGAGAAAAGGGAGAACAATTGTACTGGGGCCCTGCACTCTAGGGCCCTCTCAAAATGTCTGTAAGTAGGTTGAAATGGAAGGAGGTGGGGATCCATCAAACATGATGTACCGGGGCCCCAAATTTCTCTTGATGGGCTTGACTGCCTCCAGAAAAATGACTTTCCAAGTATCAAACTCAGTGGTTGAAACAGATCTTCATCAGCGTAGTCAGGATCATATTATTATCCCAAGACGCAAGGAGCTTTTTAATGTGTCAAGCCCCTCATGAACTTGAGAGTAAGGGGCTGCAGAGACACTTGTTTACCTTTGACTGAGAGGCCTAAAAAGCGGTGAGACATATCTGGATGGAGTTTACTTTGTTTTAAGCTAGGTTCTGACAAACAACTTTTGTGCTTGAAAAGTAAAGAGGTTCCCCAGGGACAAATTATATCACATTGCAAATCTTTTTTTCTATTCGGAATCGTAGGTCCTTGCAAAAGGTTTCCATGATGGCAGGAGGACATGAATCACCTGCTTAGACACAATGTGTATATGAAGCTCTACCCTGTCAGGACAAGGGCTTCCTGATTGGGATCGAATGAGGCGCAGTGGTTTTGCATGATGATCTGAGGTCAGAATCTCAGTTTGATGGAATCCCCTTTAGCCAATAGCAAAAGATTTTAGAATCAGACCTGTTTGGGAGAGTATGGGACTAAAAGGAAAATTAAGCGTTTCTCTCTTCTTAGGTTTGCCAGAACTGGTGCTACCAGAGGGACTGATGGGAAGGTGTTCAGGAGCTTCATTATCAGAGGATGGAATCCACTGCTAATGCAGTTTCTTTTTGGTGCCATGATGAGAACACTGGCGGTTTCTTGTTTAAGTGGGTGGCACCTCCAATATCCCTTGTTGGTGGAAGAGCTGATCTGCCACTTCCTGATCCAGAGACCGCTCAGGAGGATCTGTTACAGACTAACTCAGCCTGTGTGTCATTTTCTTCCGTTAGGTACGGAATGTGTGATCTGGTGCCTTCTGGCTTGGTTATGTAAAGTATGGTGATGCGATTGTCCATTTGAACAAGTGCCACCTTCTGGGATATTAGGTTTCTGATCTACATGATCCGACTTATGTCCAAATCATTTATGTGCAGTTGTTTCTGTAGAGATCAGCTTACCTGCTTGTAGAGTCCCTTTGTGTTAGCTCCCCATCTCAGGCTGGAAGCACTGATGGTCACTGTGATTTGAACAGGAGGGTTTTGGAAGCCCATTCCTGTTTGAAAACTGCCTTGGATTTCCACCAGGCCAGACAGGTCCACAGGAGATCCATTATCTGGATTTACCTGGATGCAATGTGAAAGTCTTTGTGAGGCTTGCTTCCACTGGGATCTCAAGATCCACTGTGGTTACTGCATATGGAGTTGTCCTATGAATACAGCTGTGTTTTCTAGAAACAATATTCATATAGTATGTTTCAAACTGTGACCTGCTGACTCATCCATATCCTTTCTGCCAGATTGGTGATATCCTGGATCCTGTGTTGGGACAGGGAGGTTTTGAGTTGAGTTGTTTCTAGCAGGGTTTCTAGGTACCAGTTGTCTGCTGGGGACAAGTTGGGGCTTTGGGTAATTTATTGTGAACCCTACTAACTCCAAAGCAGTGGTGATAGCTATTAATTTTGATACACTAGAGAATGGTGTCCTTCATCAGCCAATCATCCAAGTTGGGGAACACATTAATTCCCATCCTGTGCGGTTAGGCCATGACAACTGCCAAAGACCAGCCCATACTGGTCTAAAAGGCAAATACATAAAATAGGTTATGCTGTTTCCTTCAAGAAATATGAGGTACTTCTGTTGCTTGGGAAATATTTCTGTGCACAGGTCAAGGTCCTAAGTACACTGCTGTTCATGCTCCCATAGAAGAGGCTTTGGGGCTCGCAGGGTGACCATTTCTCTTTGACTACATAGCTATTCAGTTCCTTGAAATTCAAGTTAAGCTAAAGTCCCCAGATTTGACTATCAAGAAGCACTTGAAATAAAACCCCTTATTCTTATCACCTCATGGTGAAAATCTGAAGGCTTTCTCTTCCAGGACAGATTGGATTTCCTGCATCATCTTTTCCTGATATAAAGGAGCCAAAGAGCATTTTAAGATGGGGTTGGGGGTGGGAAAATTTGATCTTGTAGCCCCAAAGAACAATGCTCATGGCCTATGTGTCAGAAGTGACCAGGGCCATCATGGGTAAAAGGCTCCAGGTCAACCTCTGACAAATAGGTCCTGGCAGACTACTGGTAATGATAGGTTAACTAAATGCTCCAGAATCCTTCAAAAACCCTTTGGGTTTTGATGCTTGCTGAAAGAGGCTGCTGAAGCCAAGTGTCCTGTGCAGGGGAAACTGAGCATCCTTGAAGCCATATGTTAATCTGAGACCTGGGTTTTAAAGTGGAGACTTTCCGTTTCCTCCCTTGAACAAGGGACCGAACAGAGAGAAAACAGGTCCAAGAGAACCCAATACAGCCATTGTTTCCTTTGTCTTCTGCAGTGAGGTTCCATTTGATCCCCAAAACAAATTCTCTCTAGTGTATTGTAGATCCTTTGGCTCTCTCTGGACCTTTTTATGGAATTCAGAGGTCAGCAGCAAAGCAAACTTGTGGGCATCCACCTCTAGGCAGTGAAATCATATCACTCACATCAAAAGCTGCCCAAGCTAAATCTACACCTTTCTGGATTAGATTACAGGAAGGATTAAGAGAAATGACCAGAGTAAAGGCTTTCTTTGATAATTTCATCTGACTGTTGGCTATGAAGCCTTGGCAGTACATGATCTGAAAGGCTGTAACCATAGACTGGTAAACATTTATTCTGAATGAATCCAAAGGCACAGCATTGGATTCCAGAGTGCAGTACTGTAATTCAACTAAAAATCATCCATCTTGGATTTATGTTGGAAAAACTAGGGAAAGGTAGTATCATCCCATGAAGAGTTACCTTCTTGGTGCTCCTCCATACAGAATATGTATTTGGCATCAGATGAATCCTCCCGTGCATTTGATTTCAGACAGCTCTTTATTGAAATCTCCAGATTCTCTAACAACCCCCTCCCACATACATATTCATGTCCAGAGACTGGGCTGATGATTCCAGAGACTTAGTATATACTCAGCCGCCATGATCAGTCATAAACTTCTATGAGGCTGCCACAAAGTGCTGTGTACCAGCTGAGCATTCCTCTTGCCCTGTATCAGCAGGTGTAGGATCTCTTGGCACAGCTGGACCTTTTTTTGTACTGAGGCACAAGCTTGCATCCTGAGAATTGGTGCTCCTGACATGGAAGCTCTGGATTTCACATTGACACATCTAGAACCTTTTGCACCAAAGGCTGCGAACATTTCTGCTAGAGCTCTCGAAAGCAGAACTCTCCTAGTTAGAACCAAGGAGAAATTATTGTCAGATGAATAAAAGGACTTGATCACAGAAGTGTAACAGCAGTCAAAACAGAGAGCTCACTGGAGGACAGCACTGAAAAACTTTCTGCATACTCGGATGCATTTCTGGAATTCTGTTTTAGCAATATCCCACAGTCAAGAGTGGGGCCTTGTCCATAAGATAGTGATTCAAGAAATCTGACAAAAAGTTAACCTCTAAATTAATCTCAATATGGAAAATAAACTGTGTGACAGACACCTTCTTAAAGATCAGGAACTGGAATTTCTGTAGCATATATTCCCCAGATGCAGGTTCTTGCCTTATTAAATACAGTGTGCTTATATCCATGATGAGGCTGCATGAATAGATACCAAAACACTTCACCATTCAAGTGCTGGTTTTGTTATCCTGTCCCAATTTATACTCAGCCCAAACTGGAGAGAGTAGAGGCAATGGTAGAATTGTACAACAAGAGGAAGACTAAACAAGACAAACATCTCTCATTAAAAACATCCTTATCAGACTATTCCTCTTACTACTAGGATGGGGCTTGTTAAACTCTATACTGGGAAGAAAAATAAAAATACTCCTCTTCCAAAATGAGCACCCTCACAATGCTGTAGCACTTGAAGTGAGCTGCATAGTGAATGTAGCTTGTGCCATGTTTTCTTTCCCCACTGCTGCGTTAAACTGCAACACGTGAACATGAAATGACAACAGATGGAAATCTTTATTAACACGTGGTACTTACTTATCTCCCACAATTCCCAAGTTGATTGTTGGGTAGCCGTGTTCTTGAATTGTAGCTAGGAGAGTTGAACGGTTACTGTCTCGGATCTTTCCTGGTAAGAGGTCATCCTCAGGATTCAACAACTATAAAACAGAGCCACATTACCAGTCAGTCTCCTCAGAGTGTTATGTGCCTTTGCTCATGGGAAACTTCTTGCTTTTGAAGTGGGATATGGTTCCTGCTGACAGACACCTATGACAAGTCAATCAGAGTGTGTCTGTAAATAGGTTCTGTGAATTCAGACTATGCAGCAATTTAAGCCAAAAAGATATGTGGCTGAGACACTGGCAAAGCAAAATAATAAGTTTTTCTAGGATTCTCTCTCTTAAATTGTTTCAGTGCATCCATGTCTGCAAACCCTCTTTTCATGGGGTATCAGGCTTCCAACCCCACGCAGTATAAATCAAATCACAAACTCTAAATTTGTAACTATTTCCAGGTTGATGGACAGATCTGCTTGTTCTTATCTTACTGAAACTTTAAGGATCTGTGTTGATGCTGCAGTGACCAAGAATAATAAAGTCTAGTGTCTACTCACTTTGAAAGACACATTTTAAATGTGGAAACATACAGTAGCCTAACAGATGAAAACATAAGCACAGCTTCAAATGCTAACCATGTAATTCATAACATAATATCTATTTTAGATGGAAAAACGGTGTTATTTTTAAGGGATAGAAAGCTGGCACTGATGATAATGATCTTATATTTACATAGCATCTTTCATCTTGAAGGATGCCAAAGTATCTAACAAACATACAGACATGTTTTACAGTAGGAATCCTTTCACCCATGTCTGAAACACCTCGGCCTTTGGGATGGACCGTAGTGCTGATTAACAGCATCCAGCAACACAGCTGTTGAGGACAGGAGGTGAAGGAGAATGCTATATCAATTGAAATTACAGTGAGGATGTTAGGTAGTAAGAATATAATAACTCAGGTTCGACCTTGGCTAGGTCACAACACTGTGACTAGCACCCCGTTCTTGTGAAAAGTTCCACAGGATGTTTAATGAACACAAGCAGGCAGGATCTAGGTTTAAAATGTTATATAAAAGATGCTCACAGGAAAGAGTCTCACTTACTAACTCATCACCACCACTCCTTGGGGCACCCTGGACTTTCTCTGGAGGTATCTACTGTCCAGCTTACTCCTGCCTATCTTAGGATATCTGTTAAGATTGCAGCCTAAGGTGGGTTGGCATTTTGCAGTCACAGAATAATTTTCATTGGGGTTGTGTAAGCATTAAGTATTTCAACAGGGTGCATCAATCAGAAATGGTTTGGACAAATGCGAACAGAGCTTTATTTTTATGGTTCTATTTTACATATCAAAGATTTAAAACTTAAACACATCAAAGGCTTTCAATAGGATGAGAATACAGCCAGGGGTTTATATTAGTGTTTAGACTTCAAAAGGTTTGCCTCAGAAGAGCACAGTCAAGATGTTAGGTCAAAATGCACGTTTGAGGTAACTGGATTTTTTAAATACAGCACAGTTGCTACAATAATAAAAGTGATTTTCTAGTTGGTAAAGATGAGGACTTTTAATTCAATTAAAGATATAAGTTGTCTTTTATAGAAATTGGTCCAAATGCTTCATCTTCCACACAGGGCTATTGCCCACAAGTACCTAAACCAGGTGTTTAAAAATTCCCCTGGTATTAGTATAAATCCTTTGAATGCAGTGTTGTTGTAGCTGTGTTGGTCCCAGGATATTAGAGAGACAAAATGGGTGAGGTAATATCTTTTATTGGACCAACTAAGTATTACCTTACCTACCTTGTCTTTCATAAATCCTTTGCCATTCATGTTTCTAATTTTGAAACTTCTGCAAAGAGTATTAGAAATAAGAGAACAATTACAGACCAGCTGGGTACTGCTTATATTTCTGTGAACATACTAGAAGAAATAACGTCTAGTTTTACTGAGGATTTGGGTTTTATAGTGCATTTGGGAGGTTTAGGTTGGATATTAAGAAAAACTTTTTCACTAGGAGGGTGGTGAAGCACTGGAATGGGTTACCTAGGGAGGTGGTGGAATCTTCTTCCTTAGAGATTTTTAAGGTCAGGCTTGACAAAGCCCTGGCTGGGATGATTTAGTTGGGGATTGGTGCTGCTTTGAGCAGGGGGTTGGACTAGATGACCTCCTGAGATCCCTTCCAACCCTGATATTCTATGAAGCCTCTGCAAACAAAACATGTGTAGGACTACAGTTTTGTATCATATGCTAAAAAAGATATTCTGGCAGAGACCAGTCTCATGCACAGCTCCTTCCTACAATATATACCTGCTAAGAGTAGGCATCATCTCTTTTGGGACCTGTGTGTAGAGGGTTAGGGAGCTTTTATGCATAAACATGTGAACTGCTTCCCTGATCCTTAGGTGCTCAGCACCACTAAAACACGCCCAATTGGAATTAGGATGGGAATTACTATCCAAAATACTACTCCTGTGCTTGCAGAAGAAAGTAATTTAAAAAGTCTTGAGTTTAAAGATATTTTTCTTACCTCATTCCCTGTTGACATGACTGCAACGACTGGAAATTTGTTAACTTCTACTTCTGTTACCCCAACAGTTGCTAAGAGACCAATCTCCGATGGACCCATGTGGGTTCCCTTAGCCAGCACACATTCACCTCTTTTAATGTCATGTCCTATAGGTCTGAAAACCGTATCACAAAAAAAGAAGAAAGAAAAATAGAATATAATTCAAAATGACTCTCGTTACCTGGTCAAGCTCCAAGCGAGGAGTGTGCATCTGTGCCCTGGTCATAAATTCAAAATTTCAGTGCTATTTATGGTAAAACAATGACTATAAAATGCACTGTCCATTATATTCTCTAAAGAGATATTAGAGTATTTTAAAACTAGGTTATTTACAGACCTGATATCTTGGCCTGGTCGAGCCTGCACCAGAATTCGTACTTCTAGCTCTTCAGTGCCCTGTAACAAAACAAACAAACAAACAAAAGTCACACAATTCCAAATGTGTTAACCAAACAAAATTAATCAGCTTTTATTTCTCACCAGTCTGCACTGTTTGTTAATGGTTCACAAAATGGCCATGCCACAGTCTGATCTCTTCACAGCAGCGATTACTCTGTCATATTATGGTTCAAGCATCCTCTTGGTTCTCTTGATCTGCTGATCATGAGTGCATTACAATGTGTGCTCTAATTTAAAGAGTTTAAAATAGTTACTTTCCAGCTGAGCTCACTAGGAAGGGACCTGCACTGAATGCATAGTTTTGCCTTGCTTTTTTAAGAGTGCTATGTTTATGTGTCTTCCCCATACAATATCCTTGGGTTGTGTGTTGATCTCATTTACCACAGGGATTCTTTCCCCTTTTCAGAAGTAGCCTCTCCAGAGAGAAAATCAAGAAGTGTAGTAAAGCATATGGCACTACGCCAACAGATAGGCAATAAGGAAAAACCCACCCTAGCAACCATTCGTGTGCCCAAATTTCCGTGGGGTTATTTGGAATTTCTGTAGTACAGGGACCTTTTCTCCTCTTCAGAACATCAGAGAGCAGTTAATATGTCATGTTTATGTACTGTGAACAAGACAATGGTAGGAAAGCCTGAGCTCTGATTTCTGATAGAACTTTTGTGATCACATACTCAGGATTTCAATGCTCTGGTGATTTGCTCAATGCCAATAAATCCACTGGGGCAGTTTAATTTAAAGACTACAAGATATGTATAAATATTTAATTTTATAAACTTTGCAAGTGGGTGGATGATAAAAATGCTCAGCTGTGAGAAAGTGGTAGGTTGTCAGCAGCACTGAATTTGTACTGTGCTGAGAATGGAGAAGAATTTTATTTTTGTATTAGCACCTTTTGTACTTGAGGCATCCCAATGCCATGAGTTAGACACTTGTTTTACAATGCAGGCAAACGTGGCAAGCCATTGTGTGTTCAGAAATACCTACCTTGGCATGTTGCATATTAGAACCTGTTTTGTAGAGTAAGGCAATGTTGGACAGCACACTGTGATTACACTTTACTTTTCTAAAAAAGGTGCCAGAGAATCTGGCATTTTCATCAGGACAGACATCAAAGAGAAGCAGAAAGGATTTTGGTTTAAATTAAACACCCAAAAACACTGTTGCAGAGTTAAAGTTTCCCCATGATGTCTTGTATTCTCCCAGAATATGGAGATTGTCTAATCGTAAACCTCTGAACACCAATAAATTAAGAGTTATGATAATGCAATCTTAATCTTCTGACAATGAATAATTACTTACCTCATAGTAACTGTGGTTCTTCAAGATGTGTTGTCCACATGGATTGCACTTTGGTGTGCATGTGCCCCATGTTTGTGAGATTGGGTTCTTTTGTCTAGCAGTGTTCATTGGGATCATGCTTGCATCCTGGGTGCCCTCAAGTTCCCCCCAAACTGAAGGCATGAAGAGTGGAGTGAGCCACACTGTCCCTCCATTCTTTTGACAACATAGAATCCCATTTGGTCTAATACTCCATAGTAGTTGGAAAAGATAACAGATCATGGAAATCCAGGTGGATAACTTATCTTGAAGAACCAGTGACTGTAAGATAAGTAGTCGTTCTTTCTTTGAGTGATTGTCCATATATATTTCACTCCAGGTGACTTGCAAACAGGGCATGATCAGGACATTGGTGCTAAGAGTCTTATTTAAACACTGATCGCAGGACACCTCTGCCAAAGTGGGCATCTGATCTTAAGGCCTCAAATAATGAAAGGTGAAAGACTGACCCCATGTTGCTTCCTTGCAAATTTATGAAACTGCTATGTGTCTCAGAGGAGCTGTAGAAACTTCCTAGCCCTGATGGAGTGAGCTGTAACCTGCACGGGTGGATCACCTCTAGCTAACTCATAACGTGATGTAATATTATTAGATAGACATTTCAGCAGTTACTTTGTCGTTACTGAACACTGTTTACAGTGGATTAGTCATGAGAGCCTGAATCTCCCCTAACCTTAGGGCTGATGATATAGTTACTACAAAGACCATTTTCATAGATAGATGGTATAGACAGAACATAAGAACAGCAGAATGGCTATAATGGGTCAGACCAATGGTCTATCTAGCCCAGTATCCTGTCTTCCGACAGTGGCTGGTGCCAGATTCTTCAGAGGGTGTGAATAGAACAGGGCAATTTATCCATCCAAGTACCAGCTGCCATATGCCCCAACAACTGGATCCAGGTTTTTGACCGATGTCTAGAGACTGATTTGAACTATAATGACTACATTTGATAGGGTTGTAAACCTGCGAATTGGGAGATAGTCTTTGGCTGCTACCGCATCGAGTTATGAATTCCAATCTTTGCACCAGGGTCAAGGTGTACTTCTGAATATTTAACTGCTGTCCCGGGCTCAGAAATAGTGCTAATTGCCACCGAGATCTTGCTGTAGAAGCACCTCCTTAGCATCCAATCATCAAGATATGTGAATAATAGGATTCCCTTTTCTGCAAACGGTTAAGCCGCTACGACTGACAGAACCTTCAAAAACACTCTGGGAGCAGAAGGGAGACTGAATGGAAGCACTTTATTGAAAGTGGTCTTGAGCTAGAGTGGAACACAGGAACCTTCTGTGGGAAGAGTGAATCACTATATAGAAATATGCATCTTGTACGTTGAGGACCAAGAACCAATCTCCTAGGTCCAATGATGGTATTATTACTGCAAGTGTTGACATTTTGAATTTCTGTATCTTCACAAACCTGTTGAGGAGCCTTAGATCTAGAATGGGTCTCCACCTGTCATTCTTTTTTGGAACCAGGAATTACCTCAAATAAAATCACTTCCCTCTGTCTTGTACAGGAACTGTTTCTATAGCACCTAAGTTCAGGAGGAAGTCTATTTTCTGTTCTAGAAGATGCTCACAAGAGGGGTCTTTGAAGAGGGAGGGGGAAGGGGTATAGGAAGGAAAGTAAAGTGGAGTATCCTGCTGATATGATCTCCCAAACTCACCTGTATGTAGTGATATGCTTCTAAGATTGTTGGAAGTGAGAAAGGTGGTCCCTGAAGCAAGGAAGGTATGTGAACCATTGCAGCTAGTAAGGGTAACTCAGAACCTTGATCACCCCATCAAAATTGTTTTTTTGATGAGGAGGATTGTGAGGTCGATGCCTGTGCAGCAGACGGCCTCTTTTTCTTGAACCTCTGCCTCTTTCATTGGGGTTCATAAGGTCTCTGGAAGCTGGAGAATTGAACAGGACGAGATCTCTGCACTGTCTGGGATTTACTAAATTTCCTTTTATGGACAGTTGTGTAAACTCCCAGAGAATGCAAAGTAATCCTGGAATATTTTAATGTATGCAGAGACTCTTTTGTATTCTCCGCAACAAATTTTAAGCTGTCAAAGGCAAGGTCCTTTACTGTACTCTGGACCTCCCTCAGAAATCCTGAGTGCTGAAGCCAGGAGGCCCTTCTCATGACTATCACTGTAGAAACAGAGAAAGCAGCTGTCAGTGGCATCCAAAGAGGCCTGCAGGGATGTTCTGGCAAGAGGATGACCCTCTGTAATGATTGCTTGACATTGGTCCCTCTGTTCTGGTGGTAAATGCTCAATAAACAAATTGAACTTTGAGTAGTTGGTGTGATTATATTTTGCCATCAGTGTCTGATAGTTGGTGATTCTAAACTGCAGAGTTCAAACGAATATGATTTGTGACCAGACAAATTGAGATGCTTCTGATCTTCGATGTATGGTGTTGATTTAGTGGTGATGTTGCCTTCCATGTTCATTTAAAGCTTCAACAACCAGGGAGGGATGAGAAAACAAGGATGAGAGAGGGATGAGAAAACAGAAATTACTAATCTTTAGATGGAACATAATATTTCTTATCAGCCCTTTTACAGGTGGGCAGTATTGTTGTTGGGGTATGCTAGTTTACTTTCGCAAGATCTAGCAGAGCCTCATTACTAGGTAGCACAATTTGGGCAGATGATGCGGATTCTAACTGAGAGATGCTAACCTGAGGTTTCCTTCTGATGAAATTAGGAAATGGTTTCAAGCTGCAAGGAACATGCTATATCTCCTCTGAGGATGTGCTAACAAGTGGGATATTTGGATCAGCATTATCTTCCTTGTACTAAGAATACTGAGGCAGGCCCTCAGTGCCAAACCTGTAATTACCTGCCACTAACAGAAATTTATATCAATGCAATAGATGATTGAGGCTCCGAGTGGGCATGCAACTAATATAGAGTCTCAAATTCTCAGTGCATAAAGAGTTTGCAGCATCTCAAAGCCCAAATCAAGATACTGGAAGAGACTAAATAAGCCTTCAACGGGAATGCATGGACTAGGATACTACGTGAAACTGGAAATATTGAGAGGTTTATGAGATTCCAGGAAGCAGAGTGAGGTATAGAGTATTTGACTCCTTCTGGATTTGGTACTCTAATTTTAATAAATAGGGCAAAAAAGTACGAATGGTATGGACGCTATGACACAATGTCCCCCTGGAGGCCACTGGATTGCAGAATGATTCTCTGAAATCAGTGACATGCTACTGCACACAGAACTACTAGCACAATGAGTGTTTAGTTATGACTCACATCATCTGATTCCCTGATGAGTTCTGTGTCTTCTACTTGCACCACAGCATCAGCACCACAGGGGATTGGAGCACCTGTTGTAACCCGCATTACCTGACCAGGCATCACAGTCTGAGTTGGCTGAAAAAAAAAACAACAACAAACCAGCAAATGATGACAACTAATTTACTTTTAACAAAGGAATAGGAAAACCTGAAAACATTTGAACATTGCAGCAATAAACTGGAGAGTAATAAATCCTTTTCATAGTGTGTCTTATTTTCTTCTTGATAGATGTTAGTGGAGTTAATATGGGTAAATCCCCTAGGTAATTAAAGAATAACACAGGTTCAAATCTGACTCAGGTCATTAGTAATTGAAATCCATTATTATCTGATGGCAGTATGAAATAAACTGGTAGTTATTTTTTGTGATGTGGACACCATCTTCTGGGAAGATGACTGAAACTATCAGAGTGGGTAATAAATTGGCCCCCTTGCTGGTAAAGAAGCCAAAGAATGATTAGATCAGGAGAATTAATTCCCCTATTGTTGTGTATTTAGGTTTACAGCTCTCTGTGTCTCAAGTGATTTCTTCCCAAAACTGCTGCCCCCAAGGATACAACACCCATCACACAAAGAGGTGGTCATTCTGAGTTGGGGATGAAGCACACAGGCAAAGAGCCACTGTGGTATACACTCTTTGGATAGAGGACTGCGGTCTCCAGGGCTGCAGACTTTCACTAGCACTAAAATGCATTTGTGTAATGACCCAACCATTCCCAGTCTCTGTTTAAACCTATGTGAATTGTATCACCTAAGTTAATATGTCCACATATCTATTCAAGTGACACCATCATAGGACCTAACCACATCAGCCACGACATCGGGGCTCGTTCACCTGCACATCTACCAACATGATATATGCCATCATGTGCCAGCAATGCCCCTCTGCCATGTACATTCGCCAAACCGGACAGTCTCTACGCAAAAGAATAAATGGACACAAATCTGATATCAGGAATCATAACATTCAAAAGCCAGTGGGAGAACACTTCAACCTCTCTAACCACTCAGTGACAGACTTGAAGTTGACAATTTTGCAACAAAAAAACTTCAAAAACAGACTCCAAAGAGAGATGGCTGAACTCGAATTTATATGCAAATTAGATACAATTAACTTAGGTTTAAACAGAGACTGGGAATGGTTGGGTCATTACACTAACTGAATCTATTTCCTCATGTTAAGTTCTCCTCACACCTTCTATGGGTCATCTCGATTATCACTTTGGCCTCTTACAGTTGGTATGGGTACTTCCACCTTTTCATGTTCTCTGTATGTATAAATATCTTCTGTCTGTGTTCCATTCTATGCATCCGAAGAAGTGAGCTGTAGCCCACGAAAGCTTATGCTGAAATAAATTTGTTAGTCTTTAAGGTGCCACAAGTACTCCTGTTCTTTCTGCGGATAAAGACTAACATGGCTGCTACTCTGAAACCTGTCATTTAATTTTGCTTATTCTAAGGACAGAGGAGATCAAATGTCTTTCAACAGGGCCTAAATAAAATGGTAATGAGAACTAAAAAAGGCACAATTATCATGTACCATATCTGGAATTCCACTAACCACAGAATCATAGAAATGTAGGGCTAAAGGGACCTTGAGCAGTCATTTAGTCTACTGATTCTCAGCCTTTTTCCATTTGCGGACCCCTAAAAAATTTCGAATGAAGGTGTGAATCCCTTTGGGAAATCTTAGACCTAGTCTGCAGATCCCTACGGGTCCACAGACCACAGGTCAAAAATCACTGTTCTTTGATAATGACAACCTTTTCCTGCCCCCTAGACAAAGTCTGCGGACCCTCAGGGTTGAGAACCACTGATCTAGTCCATCTCTCCCTGCTGAGACAGGATCAAATAAACCTAGACCATTCCTGATCCAATGGGCAGAACTGGAGTCAGAAGCCAGTAATTGTTTGGCAAGGCAGCAGGGCTGGGAAAGATTGGAGCAGAACTGGAACAGGAGCAGACTGGAGCAGGACACGAACAAGGCAGGAGCAAAGCTGGGAACAAGGCAGGCACAGGAGCAACTGTACCTGCTGGTGCCAGCAGTGAGCAGATAATGACCTGCTGGTGAGCTTAAATGCAGACCTGTTGGCTCCTTTCAGCCACTCAGGTGGGCTGGCCAATCAGGTAAGTCTGCTGCAGCCACTGGGTTCATTAACCTGCCTAAAAGCTGAACTGGCTAGCTGCAGGCTTAGCTGAGGGTACTCAACCCCCTGGTTCCTGACACTCTGTACTGAATTTCATCGTGCTAGTTTCAGACCAATTCTCCAATTTATCAAGGTCCTTTTGAATTCTAATCCTGTCTTCCAAAGTGCTTGAAATTCCTCCCAGTTTGTTAACATCTGCAAATTTTATAAGCATACTCTCCACTACATTATCCAAATCATTAACAAAAATATAGAGTAGTACCAGACCCAGGTCAGGCCCCTTCAGAACCCCACTAGATATACCCTCCCAGTTTGATAGCGAACCATTAATAACTACTCTTTGAGTTTGTTTTTTCAACCAATTGTGCATCCACTTTATAGTAATTTCATCTAGACCACATTCTTTGGTCTAGATGAGTATTATAGAGCAACTTCTAACTGTTGATGAGAATGACACAGCTCTACATGACAAAAGCCTGGCTAAAATCAAGATATATCAAGTCTGCAGCTTTCCCTTACCCAGTAGCCATCGGATTCAATCAGTATAGTAATCTTAAGGTTTTAAGTTATTCAAGATTTGAATCCAGATCATTGCTATGCATCTTACAAATTTAGCAAATTCACAGGTGGCTCAGATTAAGACATTTTGTGGGTTCCTCATAGAACTCTTCAGTTTTAAGAGACCTTCAGGGAAATATACTGACCCAGGAACATAGGACTTGCCACATATGCTTTATTTGTCAGTAAATGTTATCTGAAAGTCTTTTAAAAATAGTCTTGCCTTCTCCAAGCAGACAAATGTTCCATCTAATCCAGGGGTAGGCAACCTATGGCATGCGTGCCGAAGGCGGCACGCAAGCTGATTTTCAGTGGCACTCACACTGCCCGGGTCCTGGCCACCGGTCCGGGGGGCTCTGCATTTTAATTTAATTTTAAATGACGCTTCTTAAACATTTTCAAAACCTTATTTACTTTACATACAACAATAGTTTAGCTATATATTATAGACTTATAGAAAGAGACCTTCTAAAAACATTAAAATGTATTACTGGCACGCGAAACCTTAAATTAGAGTGAATAAATGAAGACTCGGCACACCACTTCTGAAAAGTTGCCGACCCCTGATCTAATGTAGTAGCCCAGAAGTTCTCAAACTTTGGTCCACGGACCACCAGTGGTCCGCGAGCTCCATTCAGGTGTTCCGCGGATAGTTCCCTCTAAGGTGCGCGCCTGGGTGGACGCACACGAGAGAAGGAAGGTCCCCCCACCTAATTAGTGAAGCTACGCAGGCGTGGCTCCACTAATTAGGTGCCTGGACCCTGGAGAAGACACACATGTAGGTGAGGTGGTGGCCTTGGGGGGAATAGGGAGTAGGGGGGTGAGAAGAGGGGGTGGGGGGAATTTGGGACGTGCAGGGCTGTGGTGGCCAGAGAAAGAGGTGACTTTCCCCAGCTCCAGGGCTGTGGCTGCCGGGGAGAGACGGCTTCTTCCCAGCCTCAGCTGTGTGGCTGCTGTGGTGCGGGAGATACTTCCCTCCTTTCCAGCCCCAGCTCGGGGGCTGCCACGGTGGGGGAGAGAGGGTACGTCCATCGCATTAGAAAGGTACTGATATTAAAAGAGTACTGATATTAAAATATGAGTTGTGTACTTTTATATGTAGAACCAAAAAAACCTGTTAATTATTATTAAGGTGTTTTTTTTATATATAGCACTTTTATCCAAAGCTCTTTACAATAGTTAGCTAACGGTACAAACAACATTTGGAAAGATCATTAAGTGGTCTGCTGAGATCCTCAGCAATTTTCAAGTGGTCTGACAAAAAAAAAAAAAAAAGTTTGAGAACCACTGTAGTAGCCTATATCTGTTTTTCACCTGGAACAGATGCTTCAGAAGGCTAAACCATTATTTTATGCCTGGAATCATTACAGTCCTTATAATTTTTGTCCTAGCTATACTGTAAAAGTACATACTATTTTTGTTCATATAAGTGTCTAATAGTGTTTTAAACTTACTAAGCTATTTGTCTCCTATAGCAGCAAGTTTCACAGGTTAATTGTATATTGCATAAAAAAGAATTTAAATTCCTTCCCATTTTAAACTTATTGCCTTTTGGCCTCATAAGGAATATGTCTATGAAAATGTCAGAATTCAATGATTAGGGTCAATCGTTGTAAAATGTGCTGCATTTTCAGCTTATTGTCCAGTGAATTAGCATAATTCCTCTTTTCTGATTTATAAACTTCCAATGATGTAAAGCATCCAAACACACCTGTGTTTGGGTGTTTTAATACAGTAAGCACTGTTGCCTGTATATTTATTACCTTCCCTTTCTAAAATTGAACATATTCATTTGTTTTTATGTATTTGTATCTGAGAGAGTGGTATTCTATTGTGTTTTATTATATTAGTTTGCCTTTATTCTTTTCTACATCACCCCAAGTGCATTGGCAATGTAAAACAGAATGAATAAAGCTATTGGTGCTACACAACATATTATTATTATTATATTTTTGTTGTAATGTTGTCTTCATCCTCAGGTAATAGCCCAGATTCTGCAATCATCAATATGAAATATACAACTAAGAAAATTGCAATTAATATGAAAGACGTTGCTTTGATACAGTGAAGTTGTAAAATACATAGTAATAATAATATTTGCACTTCTATAATGCCTTTCATTTTAGAACCTCAAAATCGTTTACAAACATCAAAATCCCATTTTACAGGTGTAGAGAAACTGAGGTACATAGAAGCTGTGTCTTACCTATGTCAAAAAGTGATTCTGTGGCAGAGATGAAAACAAAACCCAGGAATCCTGCCTGTGTGATCCCTGCTCTTGCCATTAGAGAACATAGACCATTAATAATTATTCTAATTAAAATCCTCAGTTGTCTTAGACTATTACAGTAATCGGATCAAGCTAATGTTGAGCTTAGAATGTACCCCACTTTCATTGGGTCCTGGGGGATTCTCAAAGGCCTTTTAAAACATCATAAGGCCCACACGCTTTATTCCCCCCAATCAAACTTCCTATTGTGATAAATGTACTTCCACTCAAAGGGAAACAGATACAAATCCTTTCATAACTTAGCTGCTTTTCTCCTGAACCAAACAAAGGGAGTCACTACAGAATGATATGATGTACTCTTGCTCCTCACTCAGACTAAATGTGCTGTCTCCTTAGCAGCCCTTTGTTTGTCCAGCAGCAGAGGATCTAACCAAGTGTTGAAAATGGACACATATTTGCTCCTGCCAGAACTGGGGTAGCTTGCACCACATGCTGTCTTTCACAACCTGTCCGAGACTGTAGACGGACACCAGTATGTTACAAGTGGACCCAATCACGGGATCCCACATGCGCCTAAGCCCGCAGGATAGAGCCAGGTTACTATTCCTAGCTTTGGGTCTCTAAGGCATACAGCCAGGTGAAGACCTCATATCTGCCACTCTTCTTTGAAACATGAGATTCTGCAGCCCACTGCCTTATATTCCAAAACTAGTGCCTCAGACCACCAGAGCCCCCAGTGACTTATGCACCTTCTCTCAAAGTTCCACTTCACTGTGGATGCTCTGAGCTTCTTGATTAACCCATTTAGGAACAACATGGCAGGCAAACAAAGAACACAGGCTTAGTCAAGGAACTTCTTACCCACAGTCATTTTACCCTCAAGAAAGCACTAGAGAGTTACAAATCTTTGCAATATAACAAATACAATCTTTGGAGCACTTGTGAGGATTCCAGAGCACAAATGCAAGGCATAAGTTTAAAAAAAAGAAGAAGTAGTCAGATCCTTAGTCTTACAAGAGAAGAAAAACAACTTAGAATAAAAAGAGAAAAAGAAGAGGAGAAAAGAAATTGTACTCACCTGCTCACCAGCTTGGGATTCCCCAATGATGAATCGATCCCCAGGGCCATCAGCAGCTGTAGGACAATACAGAAGAAAGAAGGTGATAAAAAGACTGAACCATCCCAAATGGGAAAATTAGAAATCAAGAATGGGAGAACCTTAGAATAATCCAAGATTTAGTTTAGACTTGCTTCTTTAAAACCTGTATGAGAGGATATGAATATTTTGCAAAACATTTTGGACTTTTAAGTTTATTTTACGATGTATTTATTAATGTGCTAATCACAGGTTATAGAATAATATTCTCTACCAAAAAATTGCTCAGATATACTCATTGTTCCTAGTTCTTGCAAGAAGTCTGGAGAGGACGTAAAAGGAAACAATTGAATATTATCTTAATATCAAAGATTTCCAATTATATTTAAGATTCTTAAGATAAAAGCCTCAACTTCATGAGGTAGAGGTAACAGCAATAGTTGGTTATCCTCTCTGTGAAACTGCCACTAGACGGGGGGCCATGATATATATATATATAGCCAGCATGTTACATAACTGTTTGGAAGACAACAGCAGAATTTTGGATATCAAGATTTCTGGGTTCCCTTCCTAGCTCTGGAAGGAATGTGATTTAATGATTAGTGCAGTGGTTACAGACAGTATAGACAAGCATGTACATCTGACGCATTCACTCTGAAAGACAGTGGGGCTAAGTAGATGTGACTCAAACATACCACGTTAGAGACTTGGGTTCTGTTCCTAGCTGTCAGTGTCTGAGGTGATATTTGAACTCATCATTTCCTCACACCCAGCCCAGTGCACCTTCATTTAGACAAAAGGGAATTTTGATGGGGGAGAGCAGGTGGGCTAAGGTTTATGAGTACTGCAGTTGGAGCATTCTTAAAATTAAAGGACACATTTTACTGCGTATGTTCAAATGGCAGTTTCCCAGGGCTACTAATTTGTCCATATCTGGACAGATTTTCAAAGGGACAGCAAAGATACTTCTGCTAACAAATGCTGAGTTTCTACTTTGAAGGCACTAGAAAGGTTCGAAGAAACAATTGAGAATAACTACCATATTTTCCCTGCTCTTATTCTCAGAAACACTTAAACTGTTTTTGCTGAAACTGAATATATAATTCTGAGGCAGAGACCAAACACAGAAATTATTAGTGTGAACAGCTGAAGTTTGAAGCAACTGAAATTGTGTGAAGTATTAAATGTTAGGAGGTGTATAGGTGTCGCTACGTGTTCTGCCTGTAAGAACTGTATTTATGCTTTTATAGCACCTTTCATTTGAGGATCTCTAAGTGCTTAACAAATGTTAATTAATTAAACCTCACAATAACCATCTGAGGTAGGTGTTATCAGTATTACAGAAGAAGAATGTGAGGTACAGGAAGAGTAAGTGACTTGCTCAAGGTCTCATAGCTAGAGTCAGGAACAGAATCTGGGAGTGCTGACACTTAGTTACCTGCTCTAACCATTTGATCATGTTACACCCAAAAGTGATTACTCTATATCTAGAGGCAATGTCATCCTAGGGGAAGAGTACAGGATTGGAAGTCAGGAGACTTGGGATCTAATCATCCACCCTCAACGCTGGCTTCTCACAGAATATCAAGTCACGTTCAAGTTGTCTTTCTCCTTATCTACCAAAACAAAATGCTACGCTGCATGCAAAATTCTCCCCCTAGGGAGAGGATAAGAGAGAGAACAAACCACATGTGACAGATGTTAGTCATGTCACTGAATGCACTATTGGAAGGGACTCCGAAACTACAGTGATGAGGGCAGCATAAGAACCTATCTAGACTAGACTAGAAATCCTGCTTCCACTGAAATCAGAATTTTATCATTGATGTTAATTGGAACAAAATCGAGTCCCTGGGTTCTAATTTGAGCTCTGACAATGACTTAATCTCTCTTACTCTCAGAGACCCCATCTGGAAAATGGAAGTATTTACCATACTTATGTCCCCAAAGGGTTGTGATGTTTACTCAACTGTCATCAGTCTCTCTCTCACATACCGAATAGTACTTTACTTCACAAGTAGCCTCACTGATTTCACTGAAATTTCACATAAAGTACTGCTCAACACAAGTAAGAGCTGAAGAAACAAGTCTTTCACAATGTCACCAACTCACAAGAGTCTATCACGAGTCTCACAATATTTAGTATTCTAGAGTGAGGGGGGATTTGATAGCAGCCTTCAACTACCATAGATGATGGAGCTAGGCTATTCTTAGTGGTGGCAGATGACAGAACCAGAAGCAATTGCAGTGGGGGAGGTCTCGGTTGGATATTAGGAAACACTATTTCACTAGGAGGGTGGTGAAGTACTGGAATGGGTTACCTAGGGTGGTGGTGGAATCTCCATCCTTATCGGTTTTTAAGGCCCAGCTTGACAAAGCCTTGGCTGGGATGATTTAGTTGGTGTTGGTCCTGCTTTGAGTAGGGGATTGGACTAGATGACCTCCCGAGGTCTCTTCCAACCCTAATATTCTATGATTCTAAAACCCTATTGGGTTAAAAAATTTGCTTTAACCCTTAAAAGCTATTGGAATCAAGAGATTACATGAAAATCTCAGCTCTCATTAAAGAAAAAAAGTAAGTTTCTAGCCCTTCTGATGTATAGAAAAGCTTGAAAATGTGAAACGAGTGCATCCTAAAGACTCAGAAATCAGGAGGCAAATAAAAAGAATCTCAGATTTATAGTTTTAAAAAAATCTCATGATTTTTTAATATTTGAGGCTGGCAATGTTTTTGAGATCCTTAGATGGAAAGTACTAAGTATTATTATTATTACTACTGTAAGTACTTATTGACCCCAATAAGGGGTGTTGGAAGTGCTTTCTGCCAAATCTACAGTCTGTTGCAGTGGTGAGTTAATTTCATGAGTCTATCTGTATCTGCTATTTCAGACAAACCTCTTGGGTCTGCATTAAATAATAACACTGAACAGTAAAATCTTCATTTAATTTTAAATGGGTTGTGTTCAGGGCCGGCTCCAGGCACCAGCTTAGCAAGCAGGTGCTTGGGGCGGCCAAGGGGAAGGGGCAGCATGTCGGGCTCTTCGGCGGCGGGTCCCTCATTCCCCTCTCGGAGGGAAGAACCTGCCACCAAATTGCCGCCGAAGAAGAAAGCGATGCGGCTGAGCTGCCGCCGATTGCGATCGCGGCTTTTTTTTTTTTTCCTGCCGCTTGGGGCGGCAAAAACCCTGGAGCTGGCCCTGGTTGTGTTGGCTATTTTCTTAGTCAAATAAAATCATATTAAAAATGTAGTATCAAAATCCAACCAGGTTTTTCGTTAACTCCTTTCGTTAAAAAGTGGTACTCAGCTGTTAAATAAATAGCTTTGCCTACCTCTCAGATCTCCTGTATACATATTATCTTGTTCTCCAGGAAAACAGGCAGTTTGTTTCATAGTTGTTCATCTGCTTCTACTATTCATTCCTTACCTAATACCCACAAGTATTTGCTTTGGGACTGATTATGATGTATCTAATGGAGGGTTATAACATAAGATGAGCTGAGGAAAAGATAACAGGAGCAGATGAACTACTAAGAAATAATAATCTTGTTTTCATGCCAATATTGCTAGTAGGGAAACATGAGGTGGGGAAAGAAAGACAGACAATATATGATATAAGCAGATCTGTTTCTAAATAAAATACATTTCAGAGTTTTCCATGTGCCACCAATTACTATTCAGAAGTCACATAACGGATGAGCTCAAAGGTGCAACAGGGTAGGGCCGGATTTCCAATTAGGCACAGCAGGCACTGGCACTCGTTGCCAAATGTGTGATTTTCTAGCCCAATTGGGCTATTTTAGCTATCACTTAGCTGCTGCGAGTTGCGGTATTTTGGGCTATTTTGCTGCCCTCCTGCTGCTGGCCGCACTACTCAGGAGTTCTCGAGAGGGAGGGAGCCTCCTGATCTGTCCCGCTCCCTGCCGAGATGCCCTACACACCACTTGTCTCACATCGTGCCCCCTCCCCTTAGGTGACAGTTGCAGCATGCACAGAATTCTTGTCCAAGGGAGGCAGAATTTTTTTCCCCCCTGAAAGAAAATGTACTGCAGTTCCATCTTTTTCCCACCAGAGGCCACTGTGGCACCAGAACAGCCTGAGCTGGCTGAGGCTAACTGGTCTGGTGGGTGGCGACAAACAGCTAGCAGGTGAGTGGTATGTGCATTTTTTCCTCAAGTGAAAAGTCACAGCAGCCTTCTTCAAGCCAGGTTAGGAAACAGAGTGGGCCACACAGGGCTGCTGGGGGGCTCCAGGGCTACATGGGGATGCAGGGGGGTGGGGGTGGGCTCCAGGCAGGGTCACATGGGGGAGGGAGTGGGCTCCAGGAAGGGTCACATGGGGGAGGGGGTGGGGGCTCGTAAGGTGTAAATCCGGACCTGCACCAGGGTTTATTGATGAACTGAGAACCATGAGGTGCATTTCACTACTTTGCTGCCAATATGCTAGTAAATGATTTCAAGTTAGCATGAATCAAGATGCACTGCACTTCAAAAGTAGATTTAACTTTTATTCAAACTGAGTGAGTAGCCTTGGTTGATGTGAAACACACTCTGTGCTGCTGAAGTGCATTTCTTCATTATCTCCTCAACAACACAGGGTTCATAGGCACATAGAGATTGCCACATTGAAACAGTAGTCTGGAAATCCATCTTTGATAAGCAGTCAATGCTAGATATTTCAGAAAAAATGCAAAGAAACCATAATGCATGAAATTCTGCTGTACTATATACCATAAAAGGAAATTTCTACTGGACCCCAGTGGGTAGTTCACAGTCTAGAGCATACAAATTTATAATCTTTGTAATTGTTCATGTTGTTCATTGATCTGTATAAATATTTAATCTTAATGAAAATCTTTGTGAGCTATTTACTTCCGGAGTTTCCTGTGAAAGTGAGTTGCATAGTTTAATTAAACATTGCATTGAAAATATGTCCTTTTTTCTGTTTTAAATTTGTTGCATTTCAAAATATTCCCAGTAGTGAAGACCAATCAATGACAACCTTATCCAGTAACCTCTGTTTCATTTCAATACCCCAAACAGTCATCTGGAAATATCTAGATTCTCTTACCATTATGAGACGAATTGCTTTCAGGAAGAATGGCTACTCTGCGGTTGGCTACATTTGTAATGGTTTATTGAGTTCACATTCTGAAACCAGTCTACAAATCTGCCGATGAAAGCCTATTGAACTTACTAATTTTTGAAGGAAAGATTAATTTCACTTTAAAAAAAGTCCAACAAAGTCCCTTAACCCTTGACTCCAAACTCTCAAATAGCAAAGGGTGAAAATAACTCAGCAAAGTTGAGCCAAAACTTTTCCAACCTTTATGCCTAAGAACAGTCACAGATGGCAAGTGGTCCTGGGCTAAGATATTCAGCTCTGAACAGGTGTTCTCTTGTATAACAGAATATTATATAACTGTACATATTTCCTTAAACTTTCAATATTAGATTTTATTTTATTTTTTGGAAACAATTTTCATTTTCTGAAATAATAAAAAAAAAGTTAAACTACAACATAAGGAATGTGACAACCTTGGTCTCATACATAAGCCTATTTTTAAACAGTCTTACAATAGTGAGGACACATTAGTGAGGCCCATATTCAGTTTGATCAATGTGTACTGCACATTGAAAGCAGATTTAACTTTTAAGGAGCTTCATCACCCATGTAAATGCTGTGCAGATTTGCAGCTCCCATGTTTTGGGACTGCAAGAGCAGCTACTGAATTGCTCTCCCTCTCGCTGGAAGAAACTTACTGGAAAGGGATCAGAGAGTGCTGGAGAGTAGCAAGAGCCATGGTTCTGTTAACTAGCCACCTGTGCAGGAGGGAATTAGTTGCCACGTTTAATGAACTAGTCTCTCTGCCCCATGTTACCATAGAGCTAACCAAAGACACTGTCCCTGAGGCAGAATGCCTATTGACCTCCCTTCCCCTCCCCCTCCCCCGGACTGTGCAGCTTTTCACCATACCAACATCAGGACTATGCCTAAATGCCAAAATTTAACTCTTATCTGGGAACAAGATAAAGCTCCCTGCATTACACCTCCAGTTTAAACAGCTGCTAATGCCTCATAGGAAAAACTGTCCTGTTCCTTTACCTTGAACTCTTGTCTCAGAGCTCAGAACTGCGAATCAACCTACCATTTTATCACCTCTGCAACAATGCCTTTAAATTTCACTGCCTGGAATCTACGTCTGCTGAAATCTTCATCCATTCCTTCATCTCCTCTTGCCTCCACTACTGCAACTCTCTTCACTATAGCCTCCAACTCTCCAGAGTTGAGCATGCATAGAATGCTACTGTAGGGTTACCATACGTCCGGATTTTCCCGGACATGTCCGGGAAAATTGGGACATGCCGGGCCGGCCGTGCGGGTGCTC